TAAGGATGATGAAGTGCCTTCCAATGAATTGGTAACTAGAATGGATAACAAACAGCTATTTGGGATAAACATATACTCAGTAGGATAAAATGGAAAAACAAAACCACCAACAACAATAACAAATGCATTCTAGATTTAAGGCCAAAAGGGGCAATGAGATGATCTAGTCTGACCTCCTGCACATTGTCTCAACAAACACATATCACTAGCCCTTAAGAACTCCTAATAGATCCTTAAAAAGAAGCCAAACCACTTAATGGTAAATGTTTGCTTAAAGTGCATTTTCCAGAAAAGCATTAAATATTGATATGTAGAGGACATACATTTTTCCCTTACAAGTTGTTAAGATATATTAACAACTTATATGTCGCTTAAATTTATTGGGCTTCAACTAGTGATTCTTGCACTGCTTACATGTAACAGTTATGAAAGTCTATGGATGCAAGAGTTTTCCTTGGTGACAGCATTTCTTAGCTGCTATCAAATTAGTTCTCAGCCTGTTTATTTATGAACTCCAACATAATCCCTCAAAAATTCAAACCGCTTTTCAGTTGCTTTTATAATGGAGTTACTGATGTTCATCAACACTTGCTAAATGTTTATGGAGACCAACCAGTGGATGTGAGCACAGTGAGGTGGTGCATTTTAGCAGCGGTGACAGCGATGTGGAAGACAAGCCATGTTCTGAATGGCCATGGACAGCTCTCATAACAGGAAAAGAAAAGTGTCTTGATCAACTTGACTGTGTGAACCGGCTAATGATGGTGACAGTATTAGCAATAGGTTTTTGTAGCTGAGAATTTGCTCTATCAAATAGTGTTACTGTGCCCTTTGTATATTCCTTCTTTGGGAAAGAATAGCTGTATGTATCAGTACAGGTTGGGACATGAACTGCTGGAGAGGAGCTCTGCGGAGAAGGACTTGGGGTCCTGGTTGGCGATGAGCCAGCAGTGTGCCCCGGTGGCTAAGAAGGCCAGTGGCATCCTGGGGTGCATTAAAAAGATCGTAGCCAGCAGGCCAAGGGAGGTGATCCTCCCCCTCTACTCTTCCCTGGTCAGGCCTCACCTAGAAAACTGTATCCACTTCTGAGTTTCCCAGAGCAAAAAAGACAGGGACCTCTAGGAAAGAGTCCAGTGGAGGGCCACAAAGATGATAAAGGCCTGGAGCATCTCCCCTATGAGGGAAGGCTAAGAAAACTGGGCCTCCTCAGCCTTGAGAAAATAAGATTCAGAGTTGAGCTTATTGATGTTAATAAATTTCTTAAGTGTGGGAGTCAAAGGGACAAGGCCAACCTTTTTTCAGCAGTCTGTGGGGACAGGACAAGGGGAAATGGCATAAACTGGAGCACAGGAAGTTCTGCATCAATATGCGAATGAACTTCTTCACAGTGAGGGTGATGGAGCACTGGAACAGGCTCTCAGGGAGGCTGTGGAATCTCCTTCTCTGGAGATATTCAAGATCTGCCTGGACACCCACCTGTACAGCCTGCTTTGCAGAGAGGCTGGACTAGATAATCTCTAAAGAACCCTTCCAGCCCCTACAATTCTGTGATTCTGTGATTCTGGATTTTCTACTTTCCATGGAAATAAAGAGAAGGTATTACTTTCAGAGCAAAGTACATACTATTCCAAGCACGCTTAAAATATTTAATATACATTTCCCAAATGATACTTTTATATTTATTTATTTTTTTACATTTTTATGAAGGCTAAGCAGTCACACCGTTTCTGTTAGCATGTCTGTTCCTATAAGTTGTGTTTTCATATGTGTGGTTTTTCCTACCTCTACAGATTGGAAGCTGTAATACATTCCCTTAGCAAATCACAGCCTACTCACCATCATCAACAAATTACAGTCTCTGTGTCAATATTTGAAACCAAGTTACTAAATCATCGCATGCTGGGATGGAATGGCTGCCCCTATCATCTACCACTTCTTGCTATCAAAGCATATAACCGGATTAGTGGGAAAACAGCTGTATTAGTCATACATTTAAGCTCTTTCTAACAGCAGGTTTTCTTTCTGCAACAAAGCACAGCTATTCAGATATTAAAAAAAATGCAAATCCCAGAGGAAATCATGACATATTAACCCCTGGAATTCTTTATGTGACTTAACATTCATTCAGCCCTTTTTCCCTAGGTAAGTGCAAGAACTATATTAAGTCAGTAGAACTAACATATTTTAGCACTTCTACTTTTAAGCTTTTTGCTTTCCAAGACTTCTATACACACCAGGCAGGGTTGATTAAATTGTATTGTCAGTTTCTAGAAGTGATTGGCATGAGCTTAAATCCATGCCTCAGTTGTGGGTATGAATCACCACGCATATGGGTTTTGTGGGACAACATCTTGGCAGAGGTTAGCAGTAAAACAGCTCTTTAACTAACTCAAAACCTCATTACTAAGCACTCTACGGTTATTAAATCTAACAAGACATAAAATAACTGTTGATTTCTTGGCCAAAAGATGCAAGAGGGAAAGAAAATACTGTAGGTAATTTCCGGTGTTCATATATCAATTCATTAATGCTATGTAAACTGAAAATTAGCATCTCGGTTTTTTCGTACTTAGCCAATGAAGTCTGCTTTTATGGATGAATGCTATATAAAGTTATGCATTTGCATATGTTTCTGTAAATAATCCTAAGAGCAAATACTACTGAGAGTGGTAATTCATCACCTTCTTTAAGCAGTGTCCTCTCTGACGCTTAACTTTGATTTGAGGCTTTGCTTAGATTGTGGAAAAACTGAACAGCCTAAGAAAAGGGAAAAATCCTAAAAATCCACAAACATTGATGTTTATACCTTGAAAGAGTACAACCATTTGTTTTCTGTCTGCAACAAGCGATTTGCTTTCTGTTACAGAAAGAAAACAACAGAATAAAATTTCACAATTTCACTACGTAAGTCATCAAAACACATGAAAACATGTTATACAAAAACAATTGCAATACCGATAGGATTTAATATGGAATTTTAAATTATAAATGTGCAATAACAAATAACACTTTATAAAATATTTAGAGATGGTACACTCTAGTATCTACGTTTCTGAGAGCACTGTATTCCTAAGATGATGAATGTAGGTCAATGGAAAAATCCTCTTTAATTCTGCAGTCCAACATCCAACAGGGTCCTCTAAAGGAATATGCTCATTCAAAGAAGCAAGGTCGTTACATATTGCCAGCTACCAACCACTGATAAAATGTACTGCAGAATATTTTCACAGATTTCCAGTCTTTTTTTTTTTTAAACTAATCTCATCCACTGTGAAAGCACTGAATGTTAACTAATGAAATAATCTAAGTCTAAGACTTTCTGCATCAACATTAAGATATAAAATTTCTGGTTAGCTGGGATTAAATGAAGGAAAGAGTTTGGAAAATTGTGAATCAGAAGGAATTGCGGGTCCATATCTTCCAATGGCAAAGGCTGGTATAGCTTCATTATTGTTAGTAAACAGTTTCCATCAGTTTAGTATTAGAGTGTTGACTATTTTTAAAAATCAAGAACACAAGAACAAGAGCTAAGCTGTCTAACGTCATTACACGAAGCTGATATTCTTTTTTTAAAAAAAAAAATGGAAAAAATTTATTTCACTGCAATTTAGATTTAAAAAAAAAATCTTATCCATTATTAAAATTTTGGAAAAAGGAAATGTCATTGCGAATAAGAGCTTCTCTCTACTACTTGGGAAAGGTCTAGCTAGACTGACAGCAAAAGATGAAGCAATAAGTGGTGTTCAAAGAGATTTCTGATAGTGATATTTCAGGTCTTTCTCCCTGCAGGCTGGCTACAACACATGTGTAGAAGTTAAAAATTGCCTCCAAAATCATTGCAGAGTTACTCACCATGCAGACTGTCTCTTGTCATTAAGAGTATGCCAGCGCTCCTATCCTAGATCCTTAGAATCAAAGCTCAACAGTTCAACAACTTAATAAAGAACAAAAAAGACTTCCCTGAAGCTAGACTATGACATCCAAGGTATGAGTCTGAAAAATGCAAGTAGCTCATACCAACTTCCCCCTCCCAAATTTTGCCTTCAGCCTTTTTGAAAACTAGGCATTTGCACTTTAAATTCCATAGAAATATTAGAATGACTGAAATGCCACTTCAAATAAATAAATAAAAAGAAAATAAAAAGCTATTATAAGGAACTATTTAAAAACTCTATCCTACAGGAACTTAAGTTTTAAGACTAATAGTCAAGGTTGTAGTAATCACACACCATACTGAAGTTTGAGCCATGTTCTGAAATATCTCAGCTGCTGAAAATCCAACCTCAAAAAAGCCAGCAGCTCCTTCATTTGATATCAATAACAACCCTAATGTCTTTGCACAATACCATACATACACTATCCCTGTGCACATAAATTTTTAAGTCCCTGCATGCATTCCCTCTCCTGTTATATTGCTTATTATAATGGGAAACATTGCTTTGGTACCACCAAATTATGAATTTTAGAACTTCTCAGGAATATCTCCTTGGCCCAGTTAGATGTACAACTGTCCATCTTCTTTTGTGATGCATCAATTAACACAAGTACCTCAGCTGGCTGAAGTCTGAAAGAAAGAATTCTCCCTTACCTTCTCTGTATCACTCTGTCTTAAAAAACAGACTACTGTACAAAAAAATGAAATGAGGGGACCCCCAAGAAACTATTCCAAGAGGATATGAATGTACCGAACAAACAGAAGATACGTTAAACAGACCTCTGTATTGGAAGGGAGACTTTGGCTATGCAGAGGTTTATTTAGATGAATTTTGCTTTAACTGCTTGTTTACTGTAGTTGATTGGCCTTTATAGAAATGCATTCCCATGAATTTATGGCTACTATGAATCCTGTTGTTTCAAGAAAATAGTCAATTGTGGAATTTTGCAATATTTTTTAAGCTTCCTAGCAGGTTAATACTCCAGCATCTCAAATCCAGCATTGAAAATAGTTTCTTCACGGCTTTGTTGACAATTCAGGTTTTGTTGAAAAAACAGATACTCACTGAAACTACATTCACAAAGTCATCATCAGACAAGGTCTCTAACATCTCAATGACTGACGTGCGGATCAGCTTCAGCGTCAATCCACTGACACTCCCGCTCCTAACAGAAATCCATAGGATAACAGAACAGATGACTTTTAAGCAATTTATTTTTTAAAAGAAAATATAAAGCACCAACCAGCACTCTCAGCAACCTTTACACTTGACTTTTCAATCATTCTCCTGAATTATCCAACAAACCATTAGTGTTATAACATTATTAGAATAAAAAATGAAGTTACTCAAAGCTAAAATCCTGTGGCTCATTTGGGTCGTAATGATGCATTATTTTTTTCATTTTATTGGAGAGATTTTTTTTTTTTTTTATCTCAACCAATGCATTACATAAACATTTTATATTCCTACCCAAAAATTTACAGATTTAGATTTTTAGACACTCAAATTGCAGCTTGTTAAATTCAAGACATAACGTGAATGTAAAGTATAGAAAAAACAAATGCTGATAAACCTTACTCCAGATATGTAAACACCGCATTTAAAAGCATGAAATGCAAATTTTATTACTAAGCATTTTTGGTCAGCAAAAGGTGATTTGTCTGATACATCAAGTTCAATGTTTCCTTCTATCCCTTCACATTAGCTAAAGGAAAGAAGCCTTATCAAGGTGAGGTGAGAAGGTTTGGTTTTTTTAATCTTTTTTTTTTTTTTTTTGCTAACTTTCTACACTGCATATAATAAATATCTCAGTATACATATCAAACACTGAATGAATTTTTTTACTTGAAATAACAAAAGGTTGTTGAAGGTTGTTTTTTTTTTTTTTTTTTTTTTGTACTTTGTGATACATTATTCTTTTTCGTCCTTACAAAATAATCTAACTAATCTAACTTAAATAACTTGTCAATAAGAACAAAAAAAAAAAATAAAAAAAAATAAAAAATGTATCATTTACCAAAAAAAATTCCTTTTTGTTTTATTTCAGATTTATTTAAGTCTATCTATGCAAATCATTTCAATTGCTCAGGAATTAATGATTTATAGGAACTGAGCTTCAGATAAGTAAGTAAAGTAAGTAAAATGTGAACTCTGCATAATTCTCACCCTTCAGGCTCATGAAATGATTAAATCCACTTTCATGCTTCCAGTAATTTGCTTCTGCTTTTGTGTTTTACATCAAATCTTGGCATGCATGTGAGAAATTTTCAACTGATTACTTTAGTAATTATTAAGAAGATGAAAGCAGAATAATATCAAAGTGATTTAAAAAACACTTCCTTGTACATGGTTCAAATAATTTTCAGGTTTGTTTTGGTCTTTTGGAAATATATTTTCCTATGTTTGTTTGCCCACGGCAGATTTTTGATCCTTGCATACAAGGACTTCTTAATTATCTCTTCCTTTCTTTCAGTGTGCAGGGATTTGTTCAATAGATCTGAGTACTTTTATCTCTGTAACGTCAACATTCAGATATTAAACACTTACGCGTCAACTAAAATAAGCATGTCTTTGGGAGATGCAGCTCCTTGGATATACCTGAAATAAACAGAAGATATGAATGAAAACAGATTTGTTGGGTGTGATGGAAGACCCTTTGAGATCTGTAAATTAATCCACTCAACCAAAAAATGTCCTCCTATTGTAACTATTAGAAAAACGTGTTGTCGTTTTCTCTCTTGCTCTGTCTCCTAAAAAAACCAAAATTCTAACTATAACAGGAGAACCTGGAAATAGGAATATAATGTCCAAAATTCAGTGCTTCCACATGTTGATAATGAAAAAAACATGAATTCTATTTCACATCTAAAGGTCTTGATGACAAACAAATTATTGCATCAGCACAGCTGAGGGAAAAATACTTCATTCATTGAAAGAGCACATTCAACTGGTACTAATCAAGTATCAGTACGCCTCAAAAAGCTTACAGAAAAATATAAGGAGAGACAATCCTACTATTCTCTGTCTTTTACTGATCTGTTGATTCCTTAGCTGGTCTAAACCACTGAGATTTCTTTGTAAGTACTTGCAGAAATTTGGAAAATTGTCTTATTCTGATAATTCAAATTACATTTGATTTTTACACAAATTCCTCATTTTATATGGAGACCTATTTGACAGTTATCCACCTATGAAAAAGTCCATGTAATGCAACAATATGATATACTATATTGGATATCATAAGAAATATAATCTGAACATTGTTTTTTTTCGGAATAGTTAACTGAGTTTATTTAAAGAATATTGCAGTATCTGTAAGTAAAGACAATTGTGAGAACAAAATGTTTCAGTGTCATAACCAGGAAGCAAGAGATGCATATACATCACTTCTTTAAAAAAGCTTACCATGGTCTTCTGCGAACATCATATAGATCTATTTTGTTTGGAGTTCGACTATTATCTACCCACGGGGAAGCTAAATAGGAGAAAAAGCATGTATAATCATGTAGAATTAATTTAAGACTTTAGGTTCAAACACTTAAAAATATAATGAACAAACATCACAGACTTTGTACTACAAAGATACGAGTGTCAACATTTGGAATTGATGAAAGACCTATATTTCTGTAATAACTTTTTGAACTATAAACTGCTATAAATTGAAACATGTAATACAGTGTAGCAAAAAATATATAGAACATTTTAAAGGGCCAAATTATGTCGAGCTATAGCTATTGACTGCACTTAACCACTGAGTTAAATGGGGCCAGAATATTAAGTGAAGCATTTTAGAATATGAAAAGAACTATTTCTGATCAAGAAAGGACTTTATTTTAAAAACATTTATTGGTCAATTAATGTTGTATGTAATAAGATTGTGCTTATCTAAAGCTCTATTAGGTGTCTAAAACATTAAAATTACCCACTAACTCAAGAGAGCTCTACCGAAAAAGGCAATTTAGAAAACTGACAAGAAAGTGTCATCTTTTCTGGAAATAATAATAAATAAAAAAAAGATGGAAACATCTGTGTCTCTGTAAGGAAAATGCTAAGATTAATAACTTTTTGTAAGCATTTAATCTAAGCTCTACCATGATTTTCAGCAAGGGTAGGCATCTTCCTCTTATGGAAAAAGAAAACGAGTCTTTTAAAACCATTTGACAGCTTAATGAACACAAAAATGTGAAAAGTCACGTGAAATGAGATAATGTTCTGCAATTTTGTCTCTCACTGTATGTCAACAGCACTGAGAGAGCTATTTTCTGCTGTTAATCATTCTTCTGTCTAGGAAATAAGGAAACCTATAGGCAATTCCAGGATGTTTTCTGAAACAAAGCAACCATCTAAAACAAATGGGAAGAATTACGACATCTCTATCCATGAACATAAAAGAAAATTAGACTGCTTAGACTAGATGCAATAGATGTCTTTTCAAAATTTATTTTACTAAATGAATCCTTTCTAAAGTGACCACAGTTTGAGTTGTTGCATCAGTTACCAGCACATTTAAACAGAACATAATCCACAAGATATTTATCAACATAACAGCCACAGAGAAGCTGTGTACTCTGAGCACTGAAGAATCTCATGCTACAGTTGTATTGGATATGAACTCATGCTACAATGGCAGGTCCTTTGTGATCTGACAATCTGACAATTGCCTGGACAGGATGTACTCCATACTCTTTTGGAAACGAAGTGGCAAAATTAATACAAACTTGAACTTACAAGGATCCACCAAATAAGAAAATCTGTCATGCCTGGTTTTTTTTTGTTTTTTTTTTTTTTGTTGTTGTTGTTTTGTTTCCCTTTTATTTCCAAAAGCACCTAGGAGTCTGTATGAGATTCTTTTCCTTCCTTCCTTCCTTCCTTCCTTTCTCTTCCTTAGAGATTTTATGCTTTATGAATTTTTGGAGATGACAAAGACTTTCTATCTGAAAACAAGTAATTATGATATTATAACTTTATGTAAAATAATTAGAAAGAATGTTGACCACTAGAAAAAGAGTCATACATTTGCTTCACCCATACAAATAATATCCTGCAAAATTATTCAGGGAAACTGTCTTGGGTCTTACTCGCTAAAGTCTCATGAAAGCAATCACAAAATATGCAAAAAAATCACTGGACATTTTCCTAACGAAACTAACATCAGTGATTTTGAGATTTGCAATTTTATTTATATAGCCTGTTGTTTAAAACATAAATTTTGATGCCTTGCAATCTGGCTCACTGAATGTCTTGAAGAGATCCGCTTCAGTGTTTTTCATTGTTGGATAGTATCGAACTATGCCAACACTACATGGATCTCTGTTGCATAAATTAGGCTTTATTCATGTTGTCTTTTAAAGATTTTCTTGCTTGGCATACGGTTAATTTGATATTTTATAAATTATTCATTAGATTTGATATCCTTCCCATTTCTGCTGATTGCATTATAGAAGTTGTAGGGATGTCTGTATTTCAAGCTTCAGCTAAGCATGCTATTCTGTTCTGTTTCCACAGTTGCAGTGGAAAGCCTCATTTTTACTGATTACACACAAAAGCCAATCACGCAGTACAGAAGTTATCCCAGGGTGAAGCCTAAATGAAAGCACTGCTCAAGGGAGATCTTGACTGCATCTGTCCATTTATAACTCATTTGATGATTTTAGTATGTGCTGAAAAAACAAAGAGGCAAAGGTGAGCATCAAAGGGGAGGCTCTCAAGAGAGTCCTGCTCAGTGAAACCTTAGTTACATCTGCCTTGCTCTACTGGTTAGGTATATATGTACAAGAAGCAAAAAGGCACAAATGAATTATTAACAGCTTTACATCTCTGTAACACAATGGGGAAAGAGGCTAAAAATTAATAGTAAGGCAGGTAACAAATGTCAGTTATCGCATTCCAGATGTGTTTCAGCCCAAAACAGTCCAACAGTTTTCATAGAATCACAAAATGGCTTAAGTTGGATGGGACCTTAAACATTATCTAGTTCTCCCTTCCATGAGCAGTGTTGCCAACCACTAGATCAGACTGCTAAGCATCCCAGCCAACTTGGCCTTGAACATCTCTCAGACATGGGGCACCCACAGCTTCTCTGGGGAACCTGTTCCAGTGCCTCACCATGCTCCGAGTAAAAAATTTATTCCCAACATCTAGCATAAATCTCCCCTCTTTTTGTTTAAAGCCATTCCCCCTTGTCTTATCACTACCAGACTGTAAAAAGCTATGCCCACTCTTGCTTGTAAGCTCCCTTTAAATACTGGAAGGCGGGTTTTCCCAGAGCCTTCCCTTGTCGAAGATAAGCCCAACTCCTCAACCTTTCTTCGTAAGAGTGGTGCTCAGTACTCCAGATACTTCACAAGGGCAGAGTAGAGGGAAACAATCACCTCCCTCTCCCTGCTTGCCATCTCTCTTTTGATGCAGCCCAGGATGCTGTTGGCCTTCTGGGCTGTAAGAGCACACTGCTGGCTCCTGTCAAGCTTTTCATCCATCAGGACCTCTAAGTCCTTCTCTGCAGGGCTGCTCTAAATGAGTTCTTCTCCCAGCCCGTACTCATATCAGAGATTGCCTCGAACCAAGTGCAACACTTGGTAAACCTTAGATTCCTTTGTTCCCTGCGTGTTTTTTGAGTGTGTACAAGTCCCTCTAGATCGCACCCATCCCTTCTATTGTGTCAAATGCATCACTCAGCTTACTGTCATCAGCAAACTTGCTGAGCGTACACCTATCTATCTCATTTATAAACACATTGAAGAACACTGGTCCCAAGACAGACAGACCCCTTGGGGACACTACTTGTGACTGACCTCCACCTGGACATAGAGCTGTTGACAATGACCCTCTGGATATGACCATTAAATTAATTCTTTATACAACTAGTACTCCAGCTTTCAATCCATCTCTCTCCAATTTAGAGATAAGGATCATGTCAAAAGCCTTGAGTTTTACACTAGAACAGGCCTTATGTAATCAAATCCTTTGTTTTATTGGTCTGAAGGTACCAAAAAACCCCAAAACAACTAAAGTGATCTGAACCTATGATAAATACTTCAACCTGCAACTTAAAATTAGGCCCCCAAAAAACTTTGTTATTTCAGGTTACAGGCAGCTGTCTGCCTCTTTGTGTCTAGACCAAATTTCATCTTCCATAAACATATTTGTTTCATTTGGAATAATCACTCTCCAAAAGGAACTGTAAAGCTTGGGAAGATGTTTAGGAGCAACAAGATAGCATTTTTTTCCCCCCTTAAAAGTGAAAACTATGGACATTTCTATGTGTTTTATAAAAACGGAGATTTTTAGAACTTCAGCATGAAGTGGTCTGATTTTTTGAACTCTAACGGTTCTTGTACATGTTGAGTTGTTAACAGGAGCTGTCAGCTATAAAATATGGATCCATTTGAAAAAAAGAAAAGTTCTTAGTTTTTCAAGGCTTTTAAAATTCATTTTGTATAGATTTTTTAGGCTTTCTAGTCCCTTAGTACCTGCTTCAGTAATGACTTTCTTGGGAGAGTTCAATATCATAGCAGCAACACTTGTTTGCCATTAATGGTTAACATAAGAGCAGCTGTGCACAGCAAGTTCTTCATTTGGAGAGATATCACTTTATTTTATTAGAAATTGATTTCTAAAGCTATTCCATTTTAATTCGACAAAACAGGGAATGCTCCAGCAGCTGAGTGAGACTTGCTTCACTAACAGCTGGAAATATTTAAGTTTTTTTTTGTTGTTGTTGTTTTAATTAAGGCGAAGAGTTAATGCTAGCCCTTCTTTATCCATATTTTTAATTAAAGAATTTTAAGCCTTTAGGAGAAAAAAATATATATGATTTTTTAAATAAAAATCTGTAGCATTCTCTTTCTTTTCCTGTGAAATTTCTCTATTTAAAATCTAGTAAGCCCTAATTAGATAGGAAGATCCAAATAAATAAAACACTGTCATGAACAGTGTAAAAAGACTTTTTTTTTTTTTTTTTCTGAAATTATTCTTATTGGATATATCAAATAACACAGGAAAAAAGGTTAATCTATGATCTGCAAAAATGAGGACATTGATATTCTTATTACTTTTAGGCCATGCTTTGAGATTAAAAGAAAATGCTATGGAAAAGCCAGGTATTACTAAATGGAATTAAGACCAGTAGAGGTTGACAAGCCAGAGGCGGCTGTCAAATTGAGAAAAATTGGTGAATACAGATTAAAGACATTTTGGCATGTAGTTAATAGAGAACAAAGTATTATATCTGTGCTGATCAATAGAATAGAGGTGAGAAATCTTCTCATTCTCACTTTACAAATCATTTTGTGGAGTAGCAGTTTAAAATGTTTGAAGCAAGTTGAAAATTGTGTTGTTTCCTGACAGAGGATGTTTGGAGACTGAAAATTAGTATACGGTATAGCATAAGAGAATCTATATGTGTTTGAAAACATGAAGTCCCCAAAATAGGAGAGAAGAAAAAAAAAATGTTGGCGTACTGCCCACTGGGAAAGACTGCCAGCATATTCCATCAGTCACACCATGAGACAGACAGAAAGACCACTTTCAAAACTGACTTATTCTGTTTACCAGCACAGACATATCTTTAAAGCTGCTGGAGCAGATGAGCTTGTGATACAGATGTATTTGCAACAAAGATATGTTCCGATATGCTTAAAGAATCATGAGTATGTAGACATTCAATGCCAAAATTGCAACCACATGTATCAATTCACTTATGTAAGATTGCGAACTCCACTTTGCCACTTGCATTCAACACTTTTAAGGGAAATAGATTCCTATCTCCATAAACAACAGGACTACAAGCATCTTCACATGCTGCTTTATGTCTAGTTGGCTTCCTTAGAAAATACAATTTTTCTTCAGAACTATAATGCTCCTAACATTCACCTAAAAAGTTGATACTGTTGACCTTTTTATTGGCTTTCCTGTAGCTATGTAAACCTGGGCAGAGTCAAAAAGGAAATCCTTTTCCATCCATTTCGCTCCTTCTCTTATTTCTCCTTCCTTCTCTATCATGGGTAGGGTGAAATGAAGAGGAAAAAAATGTTTATCTATGTTCTATGATAAAAGAATGTCTGTGAAGCTACAGGCTGGAGGTTGCTTCTTCATCTTTGAAAGAAAACAAAGAAATTACAGAGCTATGCAGCATTTTAGGAGAGACGATGCTGCCAGATGTACTGCTTTGGGGATTAAGTTTTAAATTAAAGTTCAATGTTAAACCTGAAAATGGAAGAGGGAATCTGGATCCTCTGGGAAGAACAGGATAGTTTTTGTTTTTGCTACCAATTGCCTCGGCTGTTCTGAACTTGATTGGTATGGCACATTGTCATCTTCAGCTTATCGCACACCAAAAATTGCCACAATATGTCTAGTACAACAATTCTTAAAAGATACTGCATCTATTCACATATTGTCATGATTGTGTTATTGCTAAATAAATCCCACCTACTTTAGTCTAAGACTAAGACTAAGACTGTCGTTTTACACTGTGGCAAATTCTATGTACGATATCTCCCCAAGACTGCTGAATCGGCATTGCAGACCTAACAGTTTTTCATCACTAAACATTCATCTGAGTTGTTGTGTTGTTTCTTTTTTTAATTTCAGTAAAGCTTTGCAGTCACATGTTCTTAAATGTTTCATTATTATAACTAGAAAGCCTCTTGTATCATATTTAATTACAAATGAATGTATGCTGTCTGCAGTTCAAAACAAATTCATCCTTTACTAAAGATCTTCATTTTCCAAAATAAACAGAGACATGAGGTAGTGATTAATAGTAGTGTTTTTTAAAATTTGTTTAATAAGTAATTACTGTAGTAAAAATAATGTGCTTCCCATTGCAGTATTTTAATGAAGCATTGATTAACAATTGTAATTTCCATTAGTTCTATAATTAAGAAGGATTTCAAGATTAAAAGAGGGAGTGGTTGGTTTGCACCTACACTTTCAAGTAGCTTGCCAAAAATTTGATAGTAAATTGTTCTTTCAAATAGCTGCTTCTAAAACCTAGCAATGAAACTAGCTGGATAGATGCCTCACAAAATTTAAATAACTATTTCTGTCAAATGATAGTAAACTACTTAATTAAATTATTTTTGTGTAAGAGATCTGTCCACAGCTCTCTGTTTAATTACAAATTAAATTTGCAGTATGATCTATAATATAGACTGAAAGTACCTTTCAGTCCACGTGAAGTCAGTGAAGGTCTAAGTTTGCAAGCCAATTAGGCATGAATTCAAGATTTTTTATTTTTATTTTTTAATTAGCTACTGCCACAGCATCAAAAGTAATAACAAATTATTGCTATTATTAGTAATAATAAGGTGCATATTACATCCTGTTTTGCTTGACCAACACTAATCTTTACATTTATTTTAGGGAAGACACATCTTGTCAAATAATTTCAAGAAAGAAAATCTCAGTACAGGAAAACTGCATTAAGTTGACTAAAGATCTAACTGAAAGGTAAAAACTTAGGTTCTTAGGATCTTTAGCTCTTCTTTTTCAATTTCTGCCTTGATATTTGAGAATGAAAATTGAACTGAATATATTCTAGAGAAAAACAATTAATAACATGGAGGAAGCAAACTATTGATGTATAAAAACAGAAGTCAATCTCAATGCAGTCTCCAGTGTTTTTAAGAGGGCATCTTGTAAGGTAAAGACAGGAAGTTTCTGTACAGTTCCCCTTTATTGTAGCAGTTCTGTTACCATTGCAAATGTGATAATGTGTCTTAATTTGCATGTGTATTTCCACAACAGCACCTATTATAGAATACTTGTAGGAAACAAAGGGATATATGCAAAAAAAGTCTAATTTCCATAGCATTTCTGAAGTATTTTACACACATTTTTCATGGATGGGGCCTTTCACAACAACCCCTTCATGTTGCTGGTTGCTATGGCGACAAGGACAGGCTAAAAGCCTACAGAAGATGAAAGTGATGCACTATCTAGCTAATTACTCAAGCACTTAACATATTATTGGACAAAAACATCTCAAGATACCTGTGACTGAAGAATCTCTCCACAGCTTAGAAGCACCAAAGACTGATTGTTTATTAAGAGAGGTAATACTGAATGGTTATAACACATTTCATAACGAGCAGACAATTTATAACATCATCTTCAAATATCTAATGTGAAAGACATCTCTTCTAGAATATGAAACCTGATTTCATTTTCAGAATATTTATATGTGTCAGATAAGTCTGCAAACTGAGAAAAACAGTTTACAGGAACAGAGAGATGTGAACAACTGTTCCCAATTAAAAATCTAAAAACCAAGCAGATTACCATTTGAACTATAAATGGAAGGAAGTGGGAAGAAGTTGCACAGAACAACACATCCAACTTGAGGAATGTTAAACTGCTCCAGAGTACTTTTTGGGTGTACAAAATCTAGAGATCAGGAAATTACTCAAAGATTTTTGAAGTTATCTTCTGATATGACTAGGAAGCTAATAAAAACTTAAGCATGTGGCTATAGACTAAGCAGTAAGTGAACAGTAAATATAAATTTGTGTTTAGATGGAGTATGTACAAGTATCTTATCTACATGCAAAATTGGGAAAATAAGCTTTCAAAGTCTTTCAAATAGTCTTTCAAAGGCACTCTAAGGACAAATATGCAAAGATTCTGAAGCTGCATTATGCTGGTGAACATCTGAAGTAGTCAGGCTTGCTAAATACAATAATATGCTTTTCAACAGATGTGAAAATCTTATACTTAAAAAACTAATTTCACAGAGATTGCCACAGATATGTATTTTAGAAATATTTCTTTTTCAGCACTTGGAAAACATCACTATATGGTAAGTGGTAATAACAGTGATCCCAAACACAGTACTAACAGATATGGAAAGCTGTGAGATGGAACTTTAGAAAATCAAGAAACATGAAATTAACATTTTCAATATTATGTTTTCTGCAACATCTCACTGTATTTATTTCATCAGTATCTAGCACGAGAAAACAAACAGTATTCAAGTGCTATGATATATTTCTTCCTGCAAACTAGCCTAAGGCACTTTCTCTGCCAATGTCAGCAGTTGTGCTAATCATAGTCATATCTTTAGCATAATCTCGTTTTCATAAGCAGCAACAATACTGCATAATCAGAAGAAAAAGGATCTCAGAGGTATTCCTTAACCAATAGTAAGTAAAAGAGATAAGACATTAGATACAATTGTCTCATGGAGTGAGCACATTATTTTGTTATTAATAACAGCATCTAACAACAACAGCAGTAACTTAGTTTGTGGTTCCATAAAACAAAGCTTTCCATGAGGTAGTGTTCATCAAGTACCAAATTAAGGGTACAGATGATCAAAATTTGGTAAAATACACACCTGTTTAAATAAATTTCTGTTTCACTGACACGATCATTTGACAGGTGGAACAGGTACTATTTGAAATAACCAAGTACTATCTGCCGACCTTAGCTCCGATAGTAAAAACATAACTGTTCAAGATCATGAATTCTGCATGACATAAGCATGGCGTAATTGTATTTTCACTGACTTTAATCATAAAGATTACCTGTCTAGTCAGTTGATATTTTCAAAACTAGACAGGTACAAAATCACTCTTAACAAATATTTAACCATGTTTTTACTCACTATACAGAAAGCAATACAAAATCAAGATTTAACTGTTCTATTTTTCAAAGTCCATAATCTTCTGTTTCTCTTATTCTGAACAACACAACTACTCAGTTATTTAATCTCCATTTCCCTCCTTCTCATACTAACTTTATGCCAGAATAACTTAAAAGCCTTTGAGTTATTTCTGCTTAACAGAAATCCCACCTATATAAGAAACTAATCTTTAGCTACCTTATATTTTTTCTACATAATTCAGATTTTTTAAGGCAGTATGTAGGGTAGGACAGTACTCAAGGAGACTTCAATTACCTGGGTAATACCTAGCGAGGCCAGTTGCACTACCAAAAACTTGCCATAACAAAGTAGGGTCTTCTTCTCTGTTCCGCTTGAATACATCATCCAATGCTGCAGTCCAATTGAGTTCATTTAACACTATTGTTGCTGTCAAAGATAAAGCACATTTCCAAGTTAAAAAGTTACACTGACTATAAAAAAAAGCAAGCTAAACTATTATGGAAAGTAATAAAGCTTCTAATCCTTTTATAGTTGTTTATTAGTTAAGAATTCCTCATATTCCCTTCTTCCAATTTAATTATTTGTAAGCAATGGCTGTTAATTTATTCATGTAATGTCTTCTAAAAAATATTTTATGAGATGTTACTCTAGTTGCACCTTCTTGTCAAAAAAAGTAAATGTAGTCATACAAATGCATATAAAGTTGATGTTTTTATTAATCACAGAACACTGCAATTAGAATGTTTTTTACAAAAGCTCACAAAGCTCTCCCTGTCCAAACAGATGCTTTCAGGTGGTTCTATGAAAAAAAAAAAAAAAAAAAAAAAAAAAAAAAAAAAAAAAAAAAAGAGCACTTGAATTGCAGTTAAAGTGGGATTCTCATACACTCATTATTGCATGCTAACAAATTATTCATACTTACAGATGTGATTATTTATAGAAAGATCAGCAGTGTGAACATTAATATTTATGAACTGGGTCAGTTTTTCAGTAAAGGTAAAAACAAGACTATTCACATTTTTAAGTATGATCACCTAAAGTCCAGGCAAGACTGTAATTTAGGCTTTTCCTGCAGTATGATATTGCATACAAGAAAGAATTTTTATGTCTTGCAAACGGGCAAGTCAAATGGAAATAAAAACAGTTCACGTTTAACAGAAACAAGTGGCACTACAGTAGAAATTTCTGCATGTGGATTTACATTCTAGCCCGTGGAAATAAGAATAAGGATAGATTAAAAGTTAACACTTGACAGCACAATTTGAAAATGAGTTTGTTACAAGTACTAGAGAAATGAGATTGTAACATTAAATTTTATAGGCTTGTTATCAAACGTTAAAGAGAAAACTGCTACACCCAGTGATTGGCAGAAACCTTTGTCTGTTTTTCAAAGGATTTTTAAGGTAATACTGCTCCCTCACAGTACATCTGTTTATAGAAATATCAAATTAGATTTCCAGCTCTTGAGATTCCCTGTAAACAATAAACTTTATAGTGTATACTTGTCTCTTTGTCAATTATAAAAATATTTATTTACTTGAAAAAGAGGAATAATTCCCTGAGGTATTATGAGAAGCTAATCATTTTAGAATGGTTGCTATTCAACTATCTCTTTCAGAACCAGTTAGATCTACTATAAAAAATAAAAAATAATTAAAAAAAACCAATACATAAACTTTTTTCTGAGTTCATTCTTTGTTCAGTCTTAATTTCAGAAGTGTCTCAAAGAAGTCATTAGAAGCTTTGCCATTTACTGACTCAGAAGGATTTCCTTTTGCACCTGATTTTTGTTGTTTCCTCACTTGATTTACAGAGTACTTGGCACACTGGAAGCCTACGTCAATGGTTCCCAATGGCATTTAGGGCACTAGAACACAGGGTACTTAAGGCACATGGGTGATAGTAATTCTGACCTCTTTTATATCTGACAAAACATTCAGGTTTCAGTGCCCTCCATGGACTCCCTACCCCCAAAACAATGGAAGCCAATGCATTTCTTTAGCCTTGTAATCTGTCTTTAAATTGCTGCAGCCTCTATCCCCAAATCTGGCAGCCAATTTTTCACCCTACCCCAGTAAAACATTCAATCAGGAAAAGAAAAAAGTTATTGATGGTCATAATTGCTTTTCTAAACTGGTAGCTATGCATGTCTGGAAGCAGTTCCTTCACATATGAAATGGAATACAGTATTTCCAAAGAGATTTCCTTCAGATAACCTCACTAATAAATAAACTATATGCAATATTAAGATATAATAGCCTTATTATTATACATTTACAAATATTGCTGCAGTGTCTTTGAAATCATAGAAACACATGTAATAGAAATTTATCAACCTGAACACACATGTACACATGTGCACATATACACATATGTAAAAGTATGCTTCTAAAATACATGCTTACAGAAAAAAGGAGAAACTGAGAATCTACAATGAGTAAAATACCAAAGTACTGCAGTACCAAAGTACAGAAGAATGGATAAACTGAAACAAACAATTTCAGCATTTTATTAGATTTGTGTAGATTAGCCTATAAAGCAAGAAATATGACTGCCCAGATTTTATTTGTAATACTGGTGTATCTTACAATTCAAAGAAAGAGTTTTATGATCACTTTCTACCTTTCCTTTCCTCCTCCTCAACAATTTTCTCCCAGAGGCAAATAAAACATCCTAAAGAAATCTAAGAAAAAAATCACACCAAGCTGGAAAGAAAACAAGAATAATGATGTGGAATTGAACATGAGAACAAGAAGAGAACATCCGAACAGACATACAGAGGAAAAGACTGCTAATAGTATGTGCCTCGAAGACACAATAACTTATTTGGTAGAATTGTTATGTAAATAGCTGATAGTGTGATCATTAAAACAATTACTTCTGAAACAGTTTGCTGTCTGTAATTAAAACTTGCTCCCTTAATTCAAGATATATATGATATATGTATATATACTTTTATTAGCATACTTGTGTGAAATGCACTCGTATTTGTTTTAACTAATGGTGAACAGTGAACAGTAAATAAGGAAAAGGATGCTGACAATTTTAGCTTTAATCATTTATTTCTCTGTTTTCCACATCATACATTACTCTTCTGCTTCTGCTAAAGGTACACTCTGGATTTCAAAAGACAAGCTGCAAATCAGTTCCCCTACATTTTTATTGCAATACCTCTGGTGAGAGGCAATTTAAAACCACTATCACTTGACACTGTTTTAAAGCCTATTGCAAAGTATTTGAAACATGCCATCTAAAGAAAAGAAAGCAAAACCCTCCAACTCGAACAAAGCCATTCAAATGGCTCATACTAAAATATGATTCTTAATTTGCACATAAAAATTAATAGAGCATGACTTTGACTAGCTCTTTGTAGAGGCCATACCAATCATCAGAATATCTTGATTTGAAATAAATAGATTTATTCTGACTTCATTAATAGAAGAGAGAATTTCACTTATTTTTCTGTTATTTAAAAAAAAAAACATAATAAAACAAAATGTTCAGACATGTTATAGTCACACCCATTGAGATGTTGTATAGAGCAGAAGAAAAGGTTTCTTTTTGAGATAACATTCATATGGGGAAGAGCTTTTGACTGATAATTTGCAGAAAGTCTACGTTAAGACAACTCTCCAATAACTTTATTTCTAATTCTGCTAAAAGTCTATGAAGATTGTTTCTGCTAAGTACTTCAACTGCTGCCTTTCACTTGATACTGGCAAGATGAAAAATAAAATTAATCATTGCACAGTAAAAAACCATCATTCTTAATTCCAATGAGATCCATCTATCTTCTCACTTTTCCCTCTTCTTTATCACATGAGGTTTAGGGGCCTTGACAAGAAATGGATTCAATTTTCCTCTGCAAATGCAATCAATAATAATGTGAGAGCACTACTGCTCTCTCTTTAAAAGAACTGGAATACACTTCTGATGATTTATTCAATATATAGGCCCTGGACTGCATACAGGGCAGAGTATAACATTATTTGAAAAGCCTGAGAGCTATTTACTATATCAGAAAATGTGTCAAATGCTGCTCCCTGTTGAGGCAGCTACACGTATCCAAGGGAGAATAGAAGGGACTGCTTCTACAGACCACTAATTGTCTTTTAGTGTATAGCAACTATTACAGTTCCATGTCTTATTTAATGAAGTTGGCTCAAATAAACTCGAAGTTTATTTGAAAATAATACCCACTAGTTATTCTTATGAATGAAATACATATTTGCAGCCCAATCTTATGGTATTTAAAACTGGGAGAATATATTTGCAAAAGCACATTTTTTGTATACTTAGATGGACACACAGGTTTCTGTCTGTAGACATGCTATACAGATATTTCAGAACTTGTGTTGTCTGTACAGACTCTTTTTTATTACCTATGTTTTTCTCAGGATTTTGTCTGAAAAGGAGTTAATTTTATTCATAGAGTCACACCTAATGCTGCCTCTTGGATGAAAAAAGTAGTGACAGCACAACACTCATTCTTTCAATATTAAATTCCTTCCAGCTTATTTTTAATTAGATGTTTGCACTGATCAAGCACATATTTTCTAGATAATTCCCAAATACAGTCATTTGAAAATCTAGTCTGACAGCAACTTAAGCTACAGTACTTGAAATTGAGGTGTATGCTATGTCTCTCTTGCAAAGCTCAACATGAGCAATAGGCAAGAGCAAAGGAAAGATTACAGCGGCTCCAACATGAATACTGTCTCCTAGGTAACTAGTCTTCTCAGTGGAATCAGAAATCTGAATTTAGATGCTTAGGCTTTCCATAGAACACCATAGGAAACTGTTCAGCTCAAAGGGTCATTAAAAAGAACAACAACCAAACAACTTCACAGATTATCAGAAGCCAGTTAAATGAGAATAATAATAAAAACATCTGAGACCTGGGGACCATTTTATTCCATATCTTTCTGCAAATAAATTAGAGCTCCAGAGGTTGCACTGCTATCCACTCGCAGGGATAGAGCACAGTGTTCGCTGCATACATGGATCACAGGAATATGAATCTACAAGATGTATCTCCAGAACACCAAGTTAGACAAATTAGTTGTACACATTCAGCAACCTTTATTTAGTTTTGAAAGCATCTATCTGATGATGACGGCACTCTGTGCAACAATATTAGAAATTAATTGCATACTTTGAAAGGTAAAGAACAACAGATAGAAAAAGAATGTGTCTTTCTTTTTTTCGATCAAAAAGAAAATCAAAACACACATTTAAGAAATGAAGAGGAATTGTATTCTTTTCATTCTTTTCAGTGGTGACCAATTAGGTAGGTCATTATTTTCAGTGCTGCCCTGCTTCATCTCTTATATACAGATCAGTTAAAAATTCCTGCCTTGAAAACAGTATTTGTATTTCCTATCATAATTTAACTTTAAATTACTGGATAATTAGAATTGTTCAGA